TTTTCTTATGTTATCTGCAAACTTACTAACTAACCATACCTTCTACATTCATATCTAAATCATTTGTATAAATAACAAAAAGCAGTGGACCCAGCACCGATCCTTGTGGCACACTGCTGGTCACAGGGCTCCAGTCCAAAAAACAACCCTCTACCACCACCAGAGATAGTAAGAACTGCCAATGCTGAGTCAGAGATAACACAGTGTGGAGCTGGAGGAACACAGCAGGCCAGGCAGCATCAGTGGAGCAGGAAAGTTGACATTTTAGGTCGGGAGCCTTCTTCAGAAATGGGGGAGGGGGAAGACAGTTCAGAAATAAATAGAGAGAGGAGGGGTGAGGCTGGGAAAGGTAGATGGGATGGTGATAGGTGAGTGCAGGTGGGGATTGGTCAGTGAGGTGGGAGGAGCGGATAGGTGAGAGAGAAGATGGACAGATTGTGTCAGGTCAGGGAGGTGGAGATGAGAGGGAGGGTTGGCCATGTGATGAGGTTGGGGATGGGGAGAATTTGAAACTGGTAAATTCCACATTTAGGCCATTGGGCTGTAGGCTCCCAAGGCAGAATATGAGGTGCTGCTCCTCCAGTTTCTGGGCGGCATCATTATGACACTGGAGGAGGCCCAGGATGGGCATGTCACCCAGAGAGTGGGAGGGAGAGTTGAAATGGTTCGTGACCAGAAGGTGTTGTTGATCGTCATGAACAGAGCGCAGGTGCTCTACAGAGCAGTCTCCAAGCCTCTGCTTGGTCTCACCGATGTAGAGGAGGCCACGTTGGGAGCACATTGACAGATGTGCAGGTGAAACTCTGTGTGATGTGAAAGGTTTGTTTGGTGCCTTGAATGGACATGAGGGGGGAGGTGTAGCACTTCCTGCAGTTTCAGGGAAAGGTGCCGGGGGTGGTGGGGCTAGTGGGGAGTGTGGACGGACGAGGGAGTCACAGAGAGTGCAGTCACCACCATCCATTTCGTACCTTCAAGCCAATTTTGAATCCAATTGGCTAGCTCCACCTGGATTCCATGTTATCTAACCTTACAAACCAGTGTATTGTGTGGAACCTTGTTGAACACCTTGCTGAAGTACATATTGACAACGTCTTCCACTATGCCTTCATCAATCCTTTTTGTCATCTCTTCAATAAACTCTATCAAGTTAGTGAGACATGATTTCTCATGCAGAAAACCGTGTTGACTATACTTAATCAGTCCTTGCTTTTCCAAATGCATGTAAATCCTGTTCCTCAGAATCTCTTCCAATATTTACCACTGATGTCAGGCTCACCAGTCTATAGTTCCCTGGCTTTTCCTTGCCACCTTTGTTAAATAATGGCAGCACATTAGCTGCAGCTGTTGATAATGTGAATATCCCAGCAAGGGACCCAGAAATCTCTTTCCTAGCTTCTCACAGAGTCTGGGATACACCTGACCAGGTGCTGGGGATTTATCTACCTTTATGTGTTTTAAAACTGCCAGCACCTCCTTTTCTGTAAAAAGGACACTTTTCAAGACATCACTGTTTATTTTCCCAAGTTCCCTAGCTTCCATGTCCTTGTCCACGTAAATACTGAGGCAAAATATTCATTTAGTATCTCACCCATCACATGGTTCCATGATGTGGAGGTGCTGGACTGGGGTGGACAAGGTCAGAAATCACACAACACCAGGTTATAGTCCAACAGGTTTATTTGAAAACACAAGTTTTCGGAGTCTTACTCCTTCAGTTGTTAGTGAGAGAGGTAGTATCACTCACAGAATTTATAAGTAAAAGATCAAAGGGTCACACCACTGATGAGGATGTTCTAAACGAACGTAAGATGCTGTCAAATCTTTAATCAGTTGGAAGGTTTTAATTGATTAATATGTATATGTAAATTCCCAAATTCCTTTGAAGTCACTGCCTGAGAGAACTAAAAGTTTTATCAGTGTAAAGAAGAGGTGACATTTTAGGTCAGACCATGCATGTTAGGTGTGAGGCCTTATTTAGAATCTGTTTTTGTGTTTTAGTTTGGAGTCAGACTGGTTTTATTTCTAAAGCAGGAATTTATAAAATGCCACATTGACTGTCTATAAATTGTATGCTTTTTGAACAAAATAGAATGTGTCTGCAAATACAAAATTCACCCCATTGATTCACAAGTGTGTGTGTGTGAGAGAGGGAGAGAGAGAGAGTGTATAGTGTGGTAGGGTCACCTGTAGTGCAGCATAAACCCAAGATCTCGGGGTACCGAACTTGGCTATCAGCCTCCGCTCGACAACTCTGCGTTGTTGTGTATCCCAAAGTCCCCTTTGGAGAATATTTACCCGAAGATCCGAGGCTGAATGTCCTTAGCCACTGAAGTGTTCCCCCACTGTGAGATACCTTGTCTGGCGATTGTTGCCCGGTAGCTATTCATCAGTTGTCATAGCATCTGCATGGTTTCGCCAATATACCATGCCTCAGGGCATCCTTGCTTGCAGCATACGCAATAGACAACATTGGCCGAGTCACATGAGTATCTGCTGTGCACGTGGTGGGTGGTGTTCCTACGTGTGCTGGTTGTGTCCATGTTGAAGATCTGACATGCCTTGCAGCGGTTGCTATGACAAGGTTGTAATGTGTTGTGGTCAATGTTGTCCTGAAGGCTAGTTAATGTTTTGCCATTAATGTATTTGTAGAATCTCTTTGGATTCTCCTTGACACTATTTGCCAAAGCTATCTCCTGTCCGATTTTTACCCTCCTGATTTCCTTCTTCTGTATACTCCTACTGTCCTCATGATACTCTAGGGATTCACTCGATCCCAGCAGTCTATACCTGACCAATGCTTTCTTCTTTTTCTTAACCAGACCCTCAATTTTTCTAGTCATCCAGCATTCCGTACACCTTCCAGCCTTGTCCTTTGCACTAACAGGAACATACTGTCTCTGAATTCTTGCTATCTCATTTTTGAAGGCTTCCCACTTTCCAGCCATGTCTTTACCTGCAAACAGCCTCTCCGAACCAACTTTTGAAAGATCCTGCCGAATACCTTCAAAATTGGCTTTACTCCAATTTAGGACTTTAACTTTTAGATCAGGTCCACCCTTTGCCATAACTATTTTAAAACTAATGGAATTATGATCAGTTGCCCTGAAGTGCTCTCCCACTGTTACCTCAGTCACTTGCCCCGCCTTATTTCCTAAGAGAAGGTCAAGTTTAGGTCCTTCTCTAGTAGGTACATCCACATATTGAATAAGAAAATTTTCTTATACACATTTAACAAATTCCTCTCCATCCAAGCCCTTAACAATGTGGCAGTCCCAGTCTATGTTTGGAAATTTAAAATGCCCTACAGTTACCCTCTATTATTCTTATAGGTATCTGAAATTTCCTTCCAGAATTGCTTCTCAATTTTCCGCTGCCTATTGGAGGACCAGTTGTACAATCCCAGTAAGGTGATGATCCCTTTCTTGTTTCTCAGTTCAACCCAGAGAATTTCAATGGACATTCTCCCAGGAATATCCTCCCGAAGTACAACTATAATGTTATCCTTAACCAAAAACACCACTTCCCCTCTTCTCTTGCCCCCCTTTCTATCCTTCCTATTGTATCTATACCCCACAACATTAAGCTGCCAGTCCTGCCCCTCCCTGAGCCATGTTTCTGTTATAGCTATGATATTCCAGTCCCATGTTCTCAAAATGCCTGAAGTTCATCTGCCTTACCTGTCAGGCCTGTTGCATTGAAATAAATGCAGTTTAATTTGCCAGTCTTACCTTGTTCTCTGCCATGCTTTTGCCTGCCCTGACTTTTTAACTTGCTCCCCTTATCTACTGTACCAGTCTCAGACTTATGTCTTTTCTCACTATCTCTTTGGAAACCCCTACCCCCACCCCTCCAATACTTTAAAGTCCTCCAAATAGCACTAGCAAATTTCTCCACAGGATATTGGTCCCCTTCCAATTCAGCTGCAACCCGTCTATCTTATACAGGTCACTTCTACGCCAGAAGAGATCTGAATGGCCCAAAAATGCGAATCTTTGCCCCTTTCACCAGCTCCTTAGCCACGCATTCATCTGTCCTTTCCTCCTAATCTTACTCTCACTAGCACACGGCTGTAGGAGTAACCCAGATATCACCTTGAGGACCTATTTTTTAATCTCCTGCCTAATTTCCTATACTCCCTCTGGAGAAACTCATCCCTTTCTCAACCACTGTCAACATGTATAACCTTCTGCTGGTCACTCTCCCCTTTCGGAATATTTAAGAAACTTCATAATATCCCCACAAAAGGTCCCAAACCTTTAGTAAACAAAGTTTATTTACTCTGGAGCAGGTCAAGGGCTTTAACTTCCTTACCTTAGTACTTATCTTTAGAGATAAAATATTTGATATCTTTTTAAATTATTGGCTCCTGCATGGGCCTCAAGTACTACCAAGCCGAACAGATTTCTAGTACACCATTGTTACATATTCTTGTAGGTCCTAATTTACCTACCCTGTCAACCAATCCTGACTATTTGTGGGAATATATTCCTTAATTTGGGACATTAAAGTGCACTTTCTACTAATGGAGTGGAATGATTGAAACTGGATCTTTTAATATTTCAATATCTTAGAATAAATCTGAGCTGTTATTAAATACTATAATTGCCATACTGTTAACGTTATTCTTGATGTATACTTCAGTCAATTTATGAAGCAAAAAGTTATTTGTTATCCTTTGTTATTGACTCTTAGATTCAATGCGCTAATAATTACCCTGTATAAGATTTAAACAGTTTTGAAGTATTAACATTTAAGGATATTATTTTCTGTAGTTCTGGTAATGCATGTCACCTTAAAAGCTATTATAAGTTACAGGAAACCAACATTACAAATACAATAATATTGGTATTATGTTGAACACATTTGTAAGATTTGTTCACTTTAGCTAATTATAGTTTATTCATAAATATTAAACTCCTCAGTGTAGTGATGTAGAAAAAATGTATTATCAGACACTTATATAAATTAATATTCTGCATTTCTGTTACATGGAAATTTAGCTTGAGGAAAAAAATAGACAGCTGCAGGAACGTCTGGAACATGCTGAACAGAAGCTACAACAAACAATGAAGAGAGCAGAAACATTACCAGAGGTAGAAGCTGAACTTGCCCAGAGAATTGCAGCTCTGACAAAGGTAACTGCACCGATGTGAAGATGATTTTAGTAAGGACTATTATAATATGCATCTTACTGAGGTCTGTGCCATTTCCCCAAAAGCCTGTCAATAACTTGTTTGATAAATTGTTTCAAAGATTTTAAGGAAGCTTTTGTGCACTATTTCACATTGGTCGCATTAGAAGAACTACCACACAAAAAATGACACTTTTTGTATATTGTTCATGTAAACTTACTTACATTTTGAATCTCTATGCTCTGTGGTGTATGTCTCAAACGCCTGACCCCCATAGCCAAAATATTTAAATGCCCTTGCCCCTGTGATATATGTCCAATCCAATAATAGCATCTTCCAGTGATAGAATTGAACCACATAAAATTCAGGCCTTGTTGCACAACATTAATTTTATTTTGTTTTAAATGCGTTCTTAAGTTGTAGGATTTGTATAATTATTTAGTGGTAAATTATATTTCAGGAGGCATTCTATGATATTTTCGCAGGGAGAAAAATGAAAAATTAAGAGCAGCTGTTGATAACCAATACTGGATGAGCAGGATATCCTCCAACTAAATATTGCAAAGACAGAAACCAGTGTCTATTTAATTCTGAAATGAAAGGGTCATGGGATCAAAGATAGCCAGCAAGCAATTTTACTTTGATACAATGCTAGCATGTTTCACATTGCCATGAGGAAGGAGCAAAGGAAGCTATTTTTGAGATCCATCTATAAACTCCCTGACAAATCCATGAAAACCACTGACAGACAGTTCTATTGGACGTTCCAACATCACCTAAAAGGCACAGAACAAGAGATCGAGGCGCCAGTCCTCGACCTGAAACAGAGAAAATGCTAATTTTATTGACCACCAGGCTAAATGTGGATGGGAGCTTCTGGTCAGATTGGAGGGAAAGAGTCTACAGAGTGGCCGTCACCGTGTAAGTCAGTTTTGGGATCAGAAGTTACCCAATTGGGAAAGTTAAAAATAAGCCACTAAAAATTTAGAGAATTTTAGGTTGGTTCCTGGATAATGAAGTGTCCACCTTAAAGAACAATGTAACATATAAGTATCGTGGGATATTTTTAGTTGTGCTAAGAGTTCATTTATTTTCTGAAGTTTAAAGTATAAACTGTCACAGAAACAAAAGTATGGCTAGATTTTGTTTATTTTGAGAAGACTTCAATAAGGAGTGAAAATGGCAGCCTGGAACTAATCCCGGGATTCCCAACCCCATTCCTGGGGTTTTCAATTTGCAACAGAACTGTTGATTGCGGCTGATTTGATTGTAAGTCCTACTTGCACTGCCAACCTGGTCAACTCCATCATGAGACTAGAGATGTCATCTTCCACACTTTTCATGACATTGATCCAGTTTGAAGCATCCATTTTTCAAGAAATATCAAGCACATGCCTGTGTCCAACTCTACAGCATCATCCGATGGTACCCTACCTTAACACAATTCTGCTGAAACTATCATGCATGCATTTGTTATCAGTAGGTCTGCCTATTCCAGTGTACATCCAGCTGGTCTCCTGTGTTCTATCTATCAGAAACTTGAGGTAACCAAACCTTGTTGACTATGTCCTAAATCACACCAAGTGTACCCACCATTCCTGTGCTTCCTGACTTATATTGACTCCTACCTTTACAACCTCAGTTTTAAAATTTTAATCCTTGTTTTCAAATCATTCCATAGCCTCATCCTTGCATATCTCTGTAATCAGCTTAATTCCTACATCCTTCCTCCTTACTGTCCTCTTGAGTATCCATGATCTTAATTACGTCATCATTGATTGGCACATCTTCCAATGACAAGAGCTTAAGCTCTAATATTACCAACCTCACCACTTTCTTTTTCTCTCTCATTTTAAGGCATTCTTTCTAATCTCCTTCTTGCTGTCCCAATATCTCTATGAAGCATACTGCAAATTTTGGTTTTCTCATGCTTCTGTGATATGGCTTGGGATTGTTTATCACTTTAAAGGTACTATATAAATACAAACTATTATTGTTGATTGGCTGTGATACTCCTTCAACTGCACCAAAATATAGGCTTGTGATCAGCATAGTTGTTTTCCACTTGACAGAGTATGGAATTCGGCATAGGAAGTCCAAGTAAAGCAGAGAGATAATTAAACAAAACTTTAAATATTACCATTTACATGTACACTTGTTTTTAGGAGGGAAGTTAAATGTTTATAATTTTACTAGAAATCATTTCCTTCAGTAAGGCAGCTCCATTCAAGAAAGAGTTCAAGACATCCCTAAGCACAGGTAAGTATTTTAGAGATCATAGACTTAAAGAGTTGTATAGCATGAAAACAGACCTTTCAGTCCAACTCATCCATGCCGACCAGATATCCTAAATGAATCTTGTCCCCTTTGCCAGCCTTTGGCCCATATCCTTCTAAACCCTTCCTATTCATGCAACCGTCCAAATGACTTTTAAATGCTGTAATTGTAATTGGCTATTTACCATTCATGCCCCTCATGATTTTATGAACTTCTATAACATCACCCTTTAGCCTCTGATGCTCTGGGAAAAAATGCCCTAGCCTATTCAGCCTCTTTCTGTAACTCAAAACCCCAATCCCAGCAACTTCTCTGTGAATCCTGCTGAACCTTTTCAAGTTTAACAACATCTTTCCTATAGCAGGGAGACTAGAACTGAGCACAGTATTGCAAAAGTGGTCTAACCAATGTCCTGTACAGCTGTAACATGACCTCCTAACTCCTATGCTCAATACACTGACCAATAAAGGCAAGTGTACTAAACACCTTCTTCACTGTCCTGCCTACCTATGACTCTACTTTTGAAGAACTATGAACCTGCACCTCTAGGTCTGTTTGATTGGCACGTGCCCCAGGACCCTACCATTAAGTGTATAAGTCCTGCCTGATTTGCCTTACTAAATGCAATACCTCACATTTATCTAAATTGTGGTAACTTTTTTAAATTGTCATAATGCAAGAAAATGTGCAAGCCAATTTGCACATCGTACCATATACAATGCTGAAACAAATAAGATAACCTTGGTAATTTGTGTTGATTTGGAGATAGATAGTGACCAAGAAATCAGTCTTGCTGTTCAAATAATGCAATGAACTCTTCTGTGTTTACCTGAGTTGGCACACAGAACTTCATCCCCAACTGATACTTAAATGGAAAGTTTTCAAAAGCAAACTATTATCTTCTGAGCATCCTGTAAATGTATACGGATTCCAACTGGAGACCACCGGATTTAACCATAAATATGGAAGAAATTAGTAATATTGTTTTTCACATACAAGGAACAGTAATGAATGTTATCAGTGGTATGGGCTCTCTGCACTGAGTTCCTGCTTCTGTTTCTGATTGGGAGTTGATAGACTGGGAAAAGTAGCTGTACCAATCTCCTGCTGAATAGAAGAAACCACACACCAGGACAGAGTCCACCAACATACCCAAAGAAATCTGCATTAAAAAAAACAGACCCATCAGGGTCATGCATAATCTGGTTAGAATCTGTAGCACAACAAGTACCATCCCTCCCAATGAGCAATAGGCAGGCACCAGAAATTTACTCACCATGATCCTTGAGTCACCATTCATGTAAATTAGGTACACTACACCAACCTCAAAAATTCCTACCAGGTAAATGCTGGAAGGCAGCATCAGACATAATTCTGGTATAGGTACGAATACCAGATATGGAGGGATTTTAAGGTACTGTATTTAGAAATTGAATGCCCCCATGCATTGAGGTTTCCTTCCCCCGATGCATGCGACCATACAAATTAGAAACAGGAGTAGATCATTCAGCCCCTTGAATCTCATTCACGTTTCAATAAGATCGTGGCATCAATTCCAGTTTCCCTCATAGCCCCTACCTTTGACTGTCTTACTGGCCAACAATTTTTCTACCTCTTTCTTACAGATATTCAATAACCCTGGCTTCAGTGCTGTGTGGGGAAAAAAAGCCTTGTAAAATAGCATAAACAGCATTCATATAAATTTTATCGGATACCTGGTGATCTGCTCCCAAAGTTACAGCAGATGTGTGAATATCCCCATGTAAGTCCATCCCAGTAAATTTCACACAGAAGGTAAAAAAAAAAGTATGTTGGTTGAGGCAATGGCCTAGTGGTGTTGTCACTGGCCTGTTAATCTAGAGACCCTGATAATATTCTGCTGATCTGGGTTCAAATCCTGCTACGACAATTGGTGAAATTTGGATTCAATAAAAAATCTGAAATTAAGAGTTTAATGATGACTGTGAATCTGTTGATTGTCAGTAAAAACCTATTTGGTTTAGTGATGTCCTTCAGGGAAGGAAATTGCCTTACCTTGTCTGGCCTACATATGAGTCCAGAGTCAATGTGGTTGACTCTTAAATGCCCTCTGGGCAATTAGGGGTGGGCAATAAATACTAGTCTAGCTAGCAATGCCCTCATCCCAGGAGTGAATAAAACAAAATGTAAATTGATGTTTGTTTACAGTTGCACAGGATTTTAAGAACAGTTTTATGTGAGAAATGTTTATTTTGAATGTTTTTATTTGGAATGTGTGAGCAAATTTGTTATTATCACTATTTCCAGTGAAATTTAAATGTTCTATTTTGGAATATTTTTATGACTTTGCACAATAGATAACACAGAAAATCTTCCAACAAATTTTGGAAAGCCTGATTGGAGTTATTGTAATTTATAATTTGCTCCACGGGTCTTTTTTTTATTTCAGTGGTCTTACTGATCTTGCATTCTTATTTTAGTTTACTTACAAAGTTTTCTTTAGTATTCTTGATGCTGCTGTAATTTAAATTACACCAAAATGCTGTGGGGTGAGGTAGGTGATGAGAAAGATCAGAAAATAGGAATGGATTTAATGGTTGGTGGAACAGACAGCCATTCTTCGGCAACAACATAATTGTAGGATGGTTTGTTGACTCTCTGGTTCTAGAATCAAAGGCATCACTGATCAGCTGCTGAAAATTCTGGGTCTAGGGGTGGGAGGTGAACAATAAAAGGCAATTCACTGC